TCAGTTCAGATATTATCTACCATTACTGCATATTCGAATAATAGTTTTAAACACTCCAATATAACAATCCAGACACATTATTTACTCTACTTTAGTTAAGATCAATATCTATTATTTCTGCCATTATGATGCAGCAGTTCTTTAATAAAAATGAAAAACAATTTTAAAAAATGTCTTACAGTATTAATACAGAAGACAACAACAGCAAAGGGTGTTTTAGAAGGTTGTTTTTTTTACACTAATCTCTATTTGAGTGAATTAATTTTAACTGTCTCATTGTAGTGCAGATTTATCAAAAATAATAGTTAGGATTTTACAGTCCATATGATTGTTGCAAGAATAAACAAAATATATGCTATTAAAAAAAATTTGCACTCTGGTCTTCTCTAAAATGTATTTTACAGTTTCTTTATCAAACTTTTGTTTTTTGATTTATCTAATTTTTAGTATTTGTTTAATGTTTTACATTAGACAAAATAAGATAGCAAGTTAACAATTAGCATATTGTAAATTTTTATCCTTCTACCAACTTTTCCTTGTTATTTTTTCAGTATTTTAATAATAACTTGAACAACAACAACAAAAATAAGTAAAAATGTTGTGATAACAACTTTTTGTTTATGGCTGCATGGTTACCATCTTAAAAACATCTTTCGGTTTCGACTTCTAAAACATTCCGGTTTAAAATGCCGTAAAAATTATTATTGTAGTTAAGGGATTGTCCATAATTTACGTAACGCAAACTTTTTTTATTTATTTGTTATTGAGGTGCCCCAAGAAGTCCTAACGGTCTTGTCACAAAACTCCGCGGAAGTGCATTTAACCAGGAAGTTTACGCCTCCTTCTTTACCGTGACGTGAAATATGTCCAAAGCTCGTTTTGAACCTGGATCTCCTGCTTATAAAGTAAGCGCTCTAACCACTGCGCTACGGCCGCACAATAAACTTTCACAATAAACAAAACAAGAAAGATCAAAATAGAACATTAAGTTTAATGATAATCGCCTTGTAAAAGAGTCTAATATCTCCTACTTCTGCTTTTTAAATATATTTTGCGTTCCGTAATTTATAGACGATCTCTAAAGTAGTCTCTCTTTTCAAACCTCTATTCTGACGTTGAGCATCCTTGACGTCCGAAAACCGGGATTTAAAGGAATAGGCAAATTTAGATATATATGGATAGGCGCTTCGCAGTGTACATACATCGACTGATTTATTTAGCCAAAGGCACAGTGAGTGTGCATACATCGACTGAAGGTTTGGGTTTGGACAGTTTGTCAGCTTTTTCATATTTGCAGACTTAAAGAAGACGGTCGGAATAGAGGTTTGATAAGAGAGCCTACCAATCTCTAAGATGCTTTTCAAGAAATTTCCGTTAGCCCGGTCATTAGTTAAAACAAACTAAAGAAAACACAAAAAAATCTAACTAGCGATCTTTTTAAATTTCATCTTAAATGCAATAAGCATATCAAGATTTTAATTTATATATTATATAACAATTTTATAATATTATATAACTTCCGTATATTATGGAATATTATGGAATTCTAACTTTAGCTTTAAATTTATACCTGTGAAATCTCAAGTGCCTGAAGGTTATTTATAAGTGAAGACTTTGATCAGTGCTGTAATTATTTTCAGTATTGCAAAGACATTAAGACTATAGAACATTTCTTAAGAAATTTCGATTTCGGTTTTTATAAGAAATTTTTTTTATAAGAAAGTTTTTTTTATAAGAAAGTTTTTCGTTTTTATAAGAAATTTCGATTTCGGTTTTACTAATTCGTCTTAACTACGTCGAGTATGAAATATATGGCGACCTTAGACCATTTAAAAGGATCGATAAGGTTTTAGTAAAAATCTAAAAGTGAAGCCAAAATAAATTCTGCGCAGTGACGTCGGTTTGTGGCAAAAAAAAAAATTCAGCAACGAGTTTGCTCTAACTATGTCGAGTGGAAACACAATTTTTTTTGTTTGTTTGTTTTTTTTTTCATGTGTCCCAAAAATTGTTTTGACGCATAATACCACGGAAGAGTATTTGAATACTTTGTGTCGCAAGGGTTAAACCTAGGTCTGGTTTAATTTTTATTCATATATAAAAATTTTTTTTACAAAGAATGTTTATAAAAAACTATGAATATACAATATTTAGTGTTTATTTTAGTTCTCAGTGATGATGGGCATAGTTCTCACAGATGGCACAAAATATGCCCAGAACCCAGAACCCTGAACCTCTTGCTTCTAAAACAAGGGTTCTAGCCACTTAGCACTCGGAATCACAAATATCCGCCAACAACCGGATGGCGAATAATTGTGCAAATATTAGATTTTAAGAGCTTTAAGCAATTATTTATAACTTTAAATTTTCATTTTGTACAGCATTTCTAAGTTTTTTTAAAAACTGCATGAACCTGAAATTGATTATCAAAAAAACAATAACTCAAAAATCCCTGTTTAGATTAAAGTTATTAACTGGAAGGTTTTTAGCGCTTTCAGACGTAGTATTTGAGAAACAAGCGGTTTCGCTAAATGACGTTTTTGAATGTTATTTGTTGAAACACAAAATATTAACATTATATAGTTTTTTATCTGTCAACATTGCAAAAAAAGTATCCTGAAAGAAAAAAATTATAATAAGTTAGTCTGAAGATTCAAAAAGCATTTAAATCATTCATAAAATACTATGCCGTTATGTTTTTAAGATTTGTAATACGTGATGCTAGGGCGAGTCTAGGAATGAAATAAGAGGGCAAATCCTGTAAAAGTACTAACTGATTTCTAAAAAAAAAAAAATTCCTCAAAACTTAAAATCATCCTACGGAAATGTGTGAAATACCCGACTAACTAACTTTTATCCTCAAAAAACCGAGTATAACTTAAAAATTGTCTTTTTTGGGGAGTAGGGAGGTGATTGTATTAGATCCCCGTAAAATTGCTCCTAATTTGATACTTATCGCTTATTTGCGTGAAACTCAGTTATTTTTAAAATAAATCAATTGTTGTTGTCATTTAGTTTTTACTTTATTTGCTACTATATTTATCTTTGCATAAACACTGAAAATAATAAAATAATGAAAATAATGTTCATTATTAACATGTCTTTCATTAAAAGTTTAGTGCATTTGACCTCCCCCCGTTTTTTGTTGTACATAATGTAAAAATACATGCATGTAATCAAAGAATTTTTTAAAAATAATTTTTGTTGGTTGACGCCTTACTTATACAATATTCGCATTGGTAATGGAACAATGAATAAAGCAGAAGCAAATAAGTTTGAGACTCGATGAATTTATGAATGGGCGAACTCGGTTGGGTGGGTGGGATCTATATCATGCCAATACTTTTACTATATATTTTATAGTATCTTGTTTTTTGATTTGCTTATTACTCATAATAAGTTCTGCTAGTTTTAGAGATTTTCTTCAACGTTCACAAAAAGTCTGTTTGATTTAAGTTAACCATTTATTTTCTTTAATAAAATATTCATATATAATTAATTTAAATTACTATTAGATAAGAAAAGAATTGCGTTGCTTGCAAACTCGTTAGAATTTAGTTTTACTGAAGCATTATTGAAATCATTTCAGCTAGCGCAAAAAATCTTGTTCCATCGCATTACTTTCCAAAGGAAAAAAAATTGCGTAATGAAACTTGATTTCTGACATTATTTACGCACGAAATCGAGTAATCTTACGTTTGGCAGTTCTTATTGGAGCGTTAATTAATTCAAAATTGAGCAGTGCGTCACATAACTCCGAGCCAAAATATTGCTCTTTTACGTATTCTTATACATACAGCAAAAGTTGTATTTTTTAAAACACTTTGGTTGTTCAGTTTCTATGGTTTTTAAAGTCATCAATATGCCAGAGAAATATCTTCTTTAAAGGAAAAAGCAACTGTTCTGAAATTGCAAAGAGAAAATTTCCCGTTATTTGTGAACGTATTGAACACTTTTACTTAATAAGTAATTAATAAGTAATAAGATTTTTAGTGTAATTAAGAGATACCGGAGAAGTTTCGAGTCATATAATCATATCTGGTAAGTCTAACAAAACCAGTAAAAATACAGATTTATTGTTAAAAAGAAAGGTAATTAAAAAAACACATGGTTAAATGCACGGCAATTAAGAAAAAAATCCTATTGACCTACTAAATAACGTGGCAGTTCGCACGGTGTAACATAAAATTTAGGTAAGCTTAGACTTATCTAGTTGCAATGCAGCCCAAAAACCATTAATTAGTGTACCTATGATCAAGCAACAATCGCAATTCGTCCATTGATATAGGTACTAGACACTCGAATGATCGCGTCTAGAATGATCACGTGGCTTTTGTTAGATATTAGTTTTTCGCTGGATATTTCATCAAATACTGGTGATAATTTTCTTTAAAAAAAAAAGCTGCGTCAAATTTATAAGATGTTTATTCACTATCATCCATTATGAAGTAATGAGAGTAATTTTACCATCATAAACAAGAGTCCGTGTACGCTGACCAAGTAATTCTGAAAGATTTAATCCTCTTTACACATAGAAAACAGTTAAACACTCCAAACATATATTTGTTTGAAGCTGTTTTAGTAGTGCAAAAGGAAAAGTAAATATATATATTTGTCCCTTAGAACTAAACAATGAATTCTGAAAGCTATGTAAATGTTTTAAAGACAAAACTCTTAGACGCCTTAAACATCCATGAATCAAAAATTTTTATCAATCTTTTATTTTGACATTTTTTCAATATGTCATACATAAAAGATTGATGAAATGGGTCCGTAGCAAAGGAATTAATAATTTGGAATGATGTGGCAATTAGCCCACATGGACAAAAAATACTTTCAAAAACTCACAGAAAGAATGCTAAAACTTAAGGAATCAGTAATTAAAAAAAGTACTTATGACTGAGAACTAAAATAAACACTAAATATTATTATATATTAATAGTATATTTATAGTTTTTCATAAACATTCTTGGTAAAAATATTTTTTGTACATGAATAAAAATAAGACCAGACCTAGGTTTAACCCTTGCGGCACTCTACACAAAGTCAACGTTCCAGATTTCTTATTTTGCACATATTGCTTTTGATAAGTTAAATAGCTTTTTATCCAATAATATATTTTATTTTTCACCCCTATGTTTTCAAATTTCACCCTGTAATATTTTAGCTTATTTAAGAGATTACATTGATCAATGGTGTCAAATACCCTAGATTAATACCCTAGATAAATGCCCTAGATAAATACCCTAGATAAATAGATAAACACTTTAAGAGTGAACTGTTTTTCTTGTCAAAACAAACAGTTAAATGATCGACTAGTTTTTATTTTTATTTTAGATGCCCCAAAAAGTCCTTACGGTCTTATCACAAAGCACCGCGGAAGAGCATTTGAAAGAAAGTTGACGCCTAGTTCAATAATCACATGTTCAGTTGAATGGTTCTTCTGAAAACCAAATTGCTTTGAGTTAAAAAAATTTCTCTTTATTAAATACATGTTCAACGATTGAGGAGAATATAGAAAGTACATTTATAGGCCTATAATTGGATAGGTTGGAGCGATCATTAATTATATAGAATGGGTATACTTATTCGACTTTAAGTATCTCTGAAAACATGATTAAAAGATAGTTTTACTATGTGGAACAGAGGTTTAATAACGTTTTTGTTAGATATTAGTTTTTCACTGGATATTTCATTAAATACTGGTGATTTATTTTTTTTAAAAAAAAGCTGAGTCAAATTTAAAAGTAGTTTATTCATTATCACCCATTATTGCGCCATCTGACTATTAGTATAATTATGTATTGCGCTGATTATATATTAGTATAATTTTATTTGCAAGTCTAGACCCAACATTTATAAAGTATTTGTATTCCTCTTATATTTTTTTAGGAAAGAATATATATGAACTACTGATATTATTTCTTTGAAGTATAACTGAATTTTTTATTTTACTTCTTCCTATTGTCATTAAACATTGGCGGTTTTTGAAAAGTTAAACTATGCAAGTGAGTTCTGTAACTCATTGAAGCAAAGAAAAACCTTTAAAGATATTCTTGAAGTAAATATTCCAAGATAAACTTATTTCCTTTCAAAAATGTAACTTTATAATTTACTTTGTATAATATACAGTAGGTGGTTAATAAATATATAAAATAATTACTGACCATGTTTTTTAAAATCAAATTTACATAATTTTTTTTCTGTAATACAATCTTTTTTGTTTCTATTTTATTAAATGATAATATTAATCGAGTTTTTCATACATCGTTTCCTTAAAGAGTGTAGCAGATTTTTAAAAATATTTTTAAAAGCGCAAAATAAATAAAAAGCAAAGTAAAATAATTTTTTTGTTTGTTTGTTTATTATATAAAAAAAATATAATGCTAATCCACTTAATACAATTTTAATTTGGGAAACTTTTTGAAATTTGTCATGGAAGCGTTATAAAGAAGATTTGATACAATGTAATACATTTTTTTTCTTTGAAAATATATACAGTATGTAGTTGTCATGCCAAAGTAAAAATTGGTCATATTTATATACAAATAAATTACATCTCATTCACAATAAAAATATGACAAACCTAAATAAATGCTTAATATATTAAAAAACAACGTACGTCTTTACAATATTTTTTAAGTAAAAAACCAAACAAAACTTAAGAGAAAAATATTATTGACGTATAATATATATAAATATATATATATAAATACATATATATATATATATATATATATATATATATATATATATATATATATATATATATATATATATATATATATATATATATATATATATATATATATATATATATATATATATATATATATATATATATATATATATATATAAATATATATATATATATATATATATATATATATATATATATATATATATAATATATAAAGATATATATAATATATATATATATATATTTATACATAATATATATATATATATATATTTATATATATATATATATATATATATATATATATATATATATATATATATATATATATATATATATATATATATATATATATATATACATATATATATATTATACATATATATTATATATATTATAAATATATATATATATATAAATATATATATATATATATATATATATATATATATATATATATATATATATATATATATATATATATATATATATATATATATATATATATGTGTGTGTGTGTATATATATATATTCATCATTAAAAAAAATGACGTCAATAATAAAAGACAAATTTAGATTATGATCTAGAGTATACACATAAATATTTCTGTAAATAGAAAACAATTTTTAAATTAAAGCTACATTTCTTATCAAGAGATTGTTATTTTATTTTTTGAATGAAATCATTAATAAATGGATTAAGGTCAATAGTTATCAACAACTACCCACCTTAAGAAATAAGAAATAGGAATTATTAACTTTATAACTATCAAGCTCGAAATCTAAAGTTAATTAAAAAGTGTTTTCTACAATATGCTTAAAATTTCTATATACTTTCTATAATTCTCTACATTATTTTATTTCTATTTTTTGCTACCTTGATATTCCTAAAATTAAATCTTCTATTTTTTCTTCGTTACGAAGTATATTTGATTTCACGGCACTAATATTATTCATCTAAATATAGTTTTATTACAAAAAAAATTTAGAAAAATTACTAGCCATAATAAAAAAACATGAAGTTGTAAGAAAGAAAAGTAAAACTCACCATTTCGGCTATCTCATGTTCAAGCTCATTTAAGTGAAGTTTAAGGGGTTCAACTTCATTTTCCGTTATGCTTAAAAATGAAAAGAAAAAATTTTCAAAAACACTAACTGATTTAGAAAAAAATAATTTATTAACACTAAATAATAAATCCATAATTATTAATATCTTAAAATGAGTAAGCACTGCTAGGTTTTTAATATTATTGATAATTTCTTAGCTCGAAATATTAAATTGCTATCAGAACTTTTATTCAAATAATAACTTTAACTTTTATTTTAACTTTTATTGCAACATAAAACGTTACTGACGACGTCAAGAGAATTGTTGATAACTTTTTTAACTGGAAACATTGAATCTCTATTACTGTCATAAAATCTCTTGAAACGTCACTAATAACATAACACTGAAATTGAGAAAGTTGGGGCTTTAGAATAAAATACTTTTGAAATTTTTAAAGGTTTGATCATAAAGTATGACTCACAAATTAAAAAAAATTAAAAACTTGGGGCTTTAAAAAAAAAAGATTATAAGAAAAACCCTACTAAAGCATCACATTGATCTATTTAATGTTTATAAAAAATGATCATTTTTTGAGAAACCCTAGTATCTATGAATAAAGATCTGCAAAAAAATATTTACAAAATGAAGAAAAAAAACAATTTATGAGACTTGAAGTTTTATGCCTTGTAAGCAATTAAAGGTTGGATTAAGTAAAACTAAGACTTTTTATATCTTGAATTAAAAAATATTGGAATGAGCTACAAAGTTGATTTTTTTTTATTGAACACATCAAAAATAAATAAAAAAAAAGAATTAAATTTCTTCAGTACAATAAAATTTTCTAATTTTTCTCTTGATGGGACTCATAAGATTTTGCACCAGGTGAGATCCATACTCTGTGGTGATTTTATCCCACTTCTTCTTAAAGTCAGTACTTGATTTTGCTTGCCTAAACTTCTTATGTTCTTATGTATGTATTCTTATGGCTTCAATAATGGCCCAATATTACTTAATTTGACAAAGTTCAGGGCAATTTGCAGGATTGTGTGTTCTAGGTATGAAATCAATACTATTGGCATTGTAGAAGTTTAACGTGGATTTGGAGTAATGACAAGATGCTAGGTCAGGCCAAAAGATTGCATTACCATCATGGGCGTTTTAAAGTGGCAATAAGCGCTTTTTAAGGCACTCTAGATTAGATAGATTGCACTATTTATTGTGGAATTAGTGACGAAACTTTGTGTTATTAATCCCCATTGATATATGGCTTGCCAAACCATAATTTTTTTTGGGAATTGTTTTAGTTTTATTGTTTTAAATTTAGCCTTTTATTTTCCTGGAGACTCCCATATAAAAATGATGTCCTGGAATCGTCTTAAAATTTAATTTCACATAAGTTTCATCATCCATAATTATAATTTTTTTTTTCTACACAATAATTTGTATAAGTTTCCTGCACGACTTTTTGCCACTAAATTTTCTTCAGCACTGCGATCTGGGGCTTTATACATCTTGAAGGACTTGATTTTATGCTTTTTTTTGATAGTTCGAACCATTTGTCAGCTAGTTTTGCATTTTAGTGCCAAATCTCGCTTAGAAATGTTAGGATTTGCCCTTATTTTTGCCAAACATACGTCTTCAGTTTTTTGTTAATGTTCAAATTGTTGCCGCTTCCAGGCTTTCTATTTAATGCATTAAGTGTCAAATACTTATTTAAAGTTCTAATCACAGTGCTTTTAGAACAGCCAACAGTTTTTACAATCAATTTGAAAGGCAAATTAGGATTTTTTATTTGATTTTTTATTTGATTTTAACTTTTTTATAATCCAGAAATCCCAGGATTGTCTAATATCAATCCCGGGATTCCCTATACGATTGAGCAAAATAAAAGAGAAATCAAAAAATATATAAAAATAACAACAATTTATGCGCATCAATATAATAATTTTTATTTAGTATAATATCGCAGGAAATAATTCTATTTTCAGTTACTCTGTTCTGTAATTCAGCAAAATAAACTTTTTTAAACTGAAAAAAAAAAGCGCATTTCTTACAAGGTTTACTCTTAAAATTAAAACTTAAATAAGCATGGCGTATGTAGATTTTACAATTAAAAGTAACTCAGCTGTTTGGAAATATTTTCTACGAGAAAAGAAAGGGCAAACAGCGATGTGTAAATTGCCAAACTGCATAAAAAATTTAAAAATCTGTGGTGGATCAATAAAAGGACTTCATATACACATGTTGGTGCATAATGTGAAGGTCGAAAGTACAACCCAACCTAATATTACCAGAAAAAGCACATCAGATAAACCACCAAAAAAAAGAAATCTAAACCACTAACAGAATATTTTTTGATTTTTGAAAAGGATAAGATAAAACACTTCATGTTACACTTGGTTGTCTAACGGTGTCTGATGGGCATACATTTAATGTGATTTGTTCTTCAATAGATTTATTTGCCACTCTAACTGCTATGGGATTCAAAAATCTACCAACGTCAGTAAACACAATTCATAATCATTTAGTAGAGCACAGCAAAAAAGTAAGATTAGTTTAGTTCAGCAAAGTAAAGTGCTCAAAAAAAGGATGTTATTTTTGGAGAGACTCAAGAGGTCTTTCAACAGAAAACATATTTTTAACATATGCAAGTCTCCAGACCCCCCAAAAAAAGCAGAGAAGTAAAAACCTTACTTCTTTATTCTTCAGAGTAAAGTGCTCAAGAGTACAGAATTCAGGGTAGGAGAGAAATTTTCTTTGTTTTTTGACGAATGGACGTCACTTCGAAATTGTCACTATATGAATATTAGTGTTCATGAAAAAAATTCGCAGTTTTGGAGTTTGGCTTTAGTGCGAATAACAGGGTCAATGCCAGCAGAGAAGTGCATTGAACTATTAGAAAAAAAACTTAGAGACCATTTTCTTGATCTACATTTTCTTAATAAAATTCGTAACAGGTTGGGCGATGAAACATTAAAGACATTGTGCTTCCTGAAGTCACATTTCAAAGTACATGAAACATGATATATTTCCATACTTTTAATGAAATTTCTTAACATCAATTAACATGTTTTTCTTCTATGCATGTAATGATGTAATGCAAACAGCATCATTTATAAAATATATTTTATTTAAGAGTGTACTATTTTTATTCTACTTAATACTATATAGATGCTTTATCTGTTTTTCAATCCTGGGATCAATCCCGGAACTCCGGGATTGATGTTTCTCAATCCCAGAATCCCGAGATTGGGAAAGACATCCGGCATTGCAAACCGTATTTAGAAGGTAATCCACTGTTATTAAGGGTGGTAGCCCTCGTAAACTGATAAAAATGACAAACTTCACAAAGTCAGAAATTGGACATGTTAGCAACATAACTGAAAGCTAATTCAGTTTCTTATGTTTTAAGTAAAAATAAGGAACTCCAATATGAGTTTCTTGCATTTAAAACAGCTATGACAAATGAAATTCATATACTCAAAAATGAAAAGTTTCCGTAGAAAAAACAGAGTATCTTAAAAAAAGAGAAAATTATTCAAAAAGCAAAAGTAACAGCTCTAGAGGAACAGCAAGCCGAAGATGTAAGCATCATTTCATCACTAACTTCAAACCCTAACACTAGCAGCAGTAATCCAACAACTCCAGCTGGGCCTCAGCTGTTTCTGGAAGAGACAAAGTAACTAGAGTAAATACTCAATAAGAATTACTTAATGCTAATGCACATGAAGTCCAGGAAAGAGAAAGAAAACAGAAAAATATTATTATTTTTGGTACCATGACATCGCCTTCTCCAATGGCTGCTGACCATATCAAACATGACAAAACGCTGGCAATATCACTCTTCAAGGAACTTAATATTGAATGTAAACATGTTGCTATTAGACGCTTTAGAGTTGGCAAAAGTAACCCAGAAAAAAATTCTGCTCAACAAATGCAATCAAAACTGCTATATAGAATATAGAATGTAACAGTATAGAATGTAACAGGCTCAACAGGGAAAAATTTGAAAGTCAGCATAACAATTAGCCCTTTCGTTTTCCCATCTGCAGTGGTAGAGTCACACTCATTAATGGAATTTGGGACTCGACTCTTGGAAGAAAAATATAATTCTAGACATGTTAAAACAGATTTAAAACTTAAATCAGTCCACAATAGAATCAACAAAAATATAAAAACGGTTAACAACTAAAACAATTTTTATTACAATTTGACCTTTTAACAATTTTTTATACAATATTATTATTTATTAATATTATTTTATACAATAATATTAACAATTTTTTATACAAATTTGACCTTGTTAAACTCAGTAAAAAGTTGCTGAGCTGCAAAACATTATTCAAAATTCAAAAGCACCACCAAGTCTTGTTTTTGTAACAGAAACATAGTATAATGAAAACTCTATTCTTAATCTCAGTTCTAATTCAATCATAAATTATATTAGTTACAGGCATGATCGATAAACTAATCCTTATGGTAGAGTCTGCATTTATATATCTGACACACTAATAAGCCATGAAGTAACTCATCTTGAACCTAGCAAAACTGTCTCTGAACAAGTTTGGTGTTCAGTTAATCTTGGAACTAAAAAATTTTTAGTTGGTTGTATATACTGTCCACCTCTCAGTAATGACTTATAAGTAAATAATCATATTAAAGCCTTTATAAAATTTTGCATCCAAATTAGTGAAAAATAAATAATTCTCAGGTCTTCTAATTACAGGAGACTTTAACCTTGACAGTACAACATGGTCTAATTACATTGCATCCACCACAAACCCGCTAGCTGAAGACTTTGAGACATTTGATTCCAACCATTTAACGCAAAATATTGATTTTAATACTTTTAAAATAATTTTTTAATTTTTAGTTTATATTAGATCCAACTAGCACTCTGGATCTTATATTAACTAAATCTTTGCAATGTGCATATACTCTTGAAAGACAATCTTAATTAGCTGCACCAAAAAAGAACGAACTCATTTAAGTCTTACTTCAAATTATGCTGTAGAATCATTAAGCCCTACTAGAAATTTGTTTTCTTCATCTTGTCAAGATTTTAAAAAATGGTAATTACAATAAACTAAACATGTATTTCAAAAATATCGACTGGGTTAATTGTTTTAGAAATTTAAATGTTAATAAATGTTATGAAACATTACAATCTATCTATATTGAATCTATCTAAATGTTATGGAACATTACAATATATCTATCTGTTTTGCACAAACCTTGGATCACAAAAGAAGTAATCTCTGTAATAAAAAATAATACTTAAAAACATTTTCTACAATACAATCTTTATGGAAAATGCCAGAATATTCCTCTAAAAAGGATGTAATTTTTGGAGAGACTCAAGAGGTCTTTCAACAGAAAAATTGCAAACTTTTTAAGGCTGCTAAAAAATGGTTGTCACAACATAATAAACATTAGTATCACTGTATGCATTTTCTTGATACTTAAGATGTCAACCTAAACAATTATTGTAACGTCCATTATAAAGAAGGTGTGAAAATAGTTTTCAAAAAATTAAACAGTTTATTTAATAAAATTTTATAGCTTAATAACAATAAAGTAATAAATATAATAAATAAATCAAATAATAAAAAATAAGCTTTCAATAACATTTGAACAAATCTCACTGTGCTACCTTTTATTTGTTATCTTTATCAAAAAAAATTTTCTTTAATTAACTTTATTCAATATTTTATAATAGCAACATCCATCAATTGATTTGTTCAATTGGATTTATTCCCAGAATTTAAGTATAAATATAATTAATGGGTTCTAATACCCTTTCTTATTAACCCATTAATTATATATATAATTAATGGGTTCTAATACCCTTTCTTTAGGTATAAAACTTCATGTTTTATACTTAAAATGAAAATACCTTGAAAATTGTAGATAGCTTAAAAGAATAAAAGATACTGAACTATAAATGCTTTAAAAGGTTAGCTCTGGAACACTACTTCATTAAAGGTTAGCTCTAAAAAACACAACTTCTTTAAAGGTTAGCTCTGGAACACTACTTTATAACAGAAATGCTTTTATTTGAAATATTATAAAAGTTTAATAATGTGTGAATGTTCCTAATATGTGTTTGCTAAATTCCTAATATGTGTTTTCTAGATGTTTTCTAATATGTGTTTGCTAAATTCCTAATATGTGATTCCTAATATGTGTTTGCTAAAAAATTAAAAAAAATCAGTGTCTTCTACCAACAGCTCCAAGTCCCCTCTATATCCTCAATAAAAGTTTTGTAACATTCTTTTAGTACCTAATGGTACAAATAAAGGAAATCAAATGACCATTTATATTCTACAACAGTTTGTTAAGATAGCAGACAGAAATTAATAGCATCAGACTCAAATAATCTTAATATTTATCACTGTGGAAGCATTAAATAAAAAAGAATTAAAAAATGAACTTGAATCTTTTTTTTTTGTCTTTTAGACTTTAAATGGACTGAGGAAAGGGAACAATAACTAGTGTACAACTTTAAAATGACCAAACCTTTTTCTTCCTTTTTCTTTTTTGCAAAACGAAAAAATTATCAAAGAAATCAAACTTTGCACTCTAGTTTTTTTTTTTCTTTTTTATTAAAATTTTTTTAACTTTAACAACTTTTTATTTAAATAAAAAGTATATAAAAACAGTATTTTCCTTTGTGTACATTGTAACCTAATTTTATGACTTACATTTATATGAAATTATTGATTAAAATGAAATTGTAGAAGAGAAAAAAATATTTCAATATTTATGAAGAACATTCACCTCTGTTCAGCTTTAAGAGAGAGTTCATGTTTTTGATTTTCCTGTCTCCACATTATCAATTCTTTTTGCATGCTATCAATATCTTCCTAAAAATTGCAAACATGGTAGGAAATTTTTTTTTAGTTTAATAATGAATAATTACATTTGTTAATAATAATAATAATGAATAGTAATTACAATTGTCTAAATTTTTACATTAAAAACATATAAAAAACTCTAAACTCTGAGTAAACTTTACTAAACTATAAGCATTATATAACTATTTTAAAACACTACCCCCTCTTCCCCCATGTAATTTTTTTTAGTGTTTTTATGCAGAAATCTTAAGTATACCGGTAGCAAGGGTTAACTTTTAAAAAAAGTCTCACCCTCTCTTTATAAACTTTATGTACAACATGATATTTTACATAAAAAAAAAACAAAAAAAACATTGAATTTTAATGTTCAGTTGTCAAAAGAAATTTAATACTAAGTTCTAAAATATAAAATAAATCCTGCACAACTTTAGTTGCATGTCGAGCACAAATATTTGACAGTTAAATTATATTTAAAAATTTCAGTCAGATTGTTGCAGCTGTATAAAACTGGCCAAAAATCCATAGACACCACACACCACAAAGTCAAATATTGATTTACCTTTGGCTAACTGTTGAAATTATAGAAAATATATCAAAGTATAGATTGTTCTATTTTGATTTATCACTAACAATTTTATAAATAAAATCACCAAAAAATTGTTCCAATGTAAAATTTCAAAAATGAAACCTGTATGTAATCCATTATTTTTCCAAGAGGATGAGCACTTCTAACTAACTGTTGAATACTTGTGCGAAGTCCATCAATCTAGAAAGAGTTTTTTAAAATATAAAAAACATTAGCATTAAATAGTTATTTTATATATACAATACAAAACCTAAGCAACCAAAAACAAAATATTTTGTAGAAACCTCTTTTTCAGCAATTTCTCTTTCCTTTTTGCGAGCACCATCAAAAACAACATGCTTATCCTAACAGTATTAAGATTAAAATAAATAATTTCTTATTATTCATCCTAACAGTATTAAGATTAATTTCTTATTACTCAGACTATTGAGAATTCCAGTTATTGTTTACAATAACAAAATTATAACTAAAACAAATATATTTTCCAATGATAATTGGAAATTTAAAAATAATCAAACTTTTCTTTAAAGAACAAAAGAATAATTACAGTGTTGTTTTGATTGTCGGCTTGTTTTTTACTTTCCAACATTTTTCGAACAAGACTCCCTGCAACAAAATAAATATATAAATAAACCATTAACTTGCATAAAACAATAGCTTAAAAAATATCCAAATTCTTAAATATTTTGTTTAAGTAGCTATGTGGTTATCAAGTATACCTATGTTATCTAAACAGAATAGTTAAAAAAATATTATTAAAAAAATATATAATAATATAATAAACATAATAGCATGTAATATAAAACTAATTTAAACATCATGACATTTTGTACAAGGACTAATGTAACATCTTTCTAAAAGCTCACTCATATTCAAGAAATCAGCAAATAACTTTTACCTAATAAAATACTTTTGGTAAAATCACTTTTTTTTCATAAAAAGAATCCTATTCTTCATCTAAATGTTTAAAACAACAAGTTAGGTCCATCACAAATCTTTTTCTTTTGCAATGGAAAAAGGATAATTTTATACTTTCATAATTTTATACTTTCATAAGTTGCTACCAGGGATTATAATTTATTAAAGTTCCAACAGTCTTCATTTAAGAAAAGAGAGTGAAGAACTTCTTCTTTTTTTAAAAAAAGATAGCACTATGCGATTTTTTAATTTGAATTAACTTCACTTTTTACAATCCAAGTACTATTCTTACTTTTCAAAAAAAAGTCTTCATAAATCTAGTGTACTTTAAATAATAAGATATTGTATAACTTGTCTTTCTCACTATTTTTTCATCATGAAAGAATAACAAGGAGTAAGATGATTATGTTGATGAATTGATATTTGATTAGGTAGTATACTTCAAACTCTCTAATTCACTTTCTAACTCATTGATATATTACAAATAGAAAAATTGAACATAATAAAATGTTTTGCACACATTTTAAAAACATGTTTTGAACAGACACTTTAAAACAAACAAAACAGTAAATTTATAATGCAAAGTAAATGATTGTTAAATTTATTTTTTCAAGTTTTATATCAAAACAAAGTAATTTGGTTTCAATTATTAAATATACTCAAAACTAATTGCAAAACAATGTGTACAACAAACAATATGCACAATAAAAATTGTACAAAGTGTACAATAACATATGAAGCTAACCATAACACTATATTTAACATACATACCATGTTCCTGTGTAGTAACTAAATCAGAATTGCTTTCTGATTGATTCTAAAAAATATAAAATATAATTAAAAATTTTTTCACTGTAATTAATTAAATAATAAATAATAATACTCTAACCATATCCAAAATATTCCCAAGAGCTGGATCTTCCTCTACAATAAATCCTTCATCTTCATCGTCATTTTTATTATCCATAATAACTGGTGCCAAAGGTTTAGAATTAACCCTATGTAAATAATACATACATGCAACAATATTAATTATCTTCATACATCCAGTTTGCTGTATAAAAAATAGGTGAACTTTGGTTTGAGAGCAACAAAATATTGATTTTTTTTTTTAATCATAACTTTTCATTACATGCTAGATCTCATATATTAGTAAAATTTTGTGTGTGTGTGTATATATATATATATATATATATATATATATATATATATATATATATATATATATATATATATATATATATATATACATACATATAATTTTTATGTGATTATACACATACATATATTTTAGGGTGGGGCATAAATCATGCAAGTTACTTTAGAAAATAAATTTTTTCGGCTCCTCTGATATACAATTTCAGAAAACAAAAAAATTAAAATATTACTCCTATATTTCGTACAAGTGATTCAAAATTTTTTTTATTTGTATACATGTTGTGAGGGGCATTTTAACATATAAATGTTTTTAAAATACCATAATATTGTTTTTTGTACTTGTTTATATCTGCTTTTAAAATATATTTGCATTTTTTTAAACATAAAAACAATAATAGTTCTTCCACTGTTTTGAAATTGGGTCATAAAATTAAGGTATATCGAGTGTTTTTTTTAAAAACGAAGCAAAAAAAACAACAACCAGTTTTCAAAAAAAGCAAGATAGATACCATTTTAAAAGCAAGATGATATTTAAAAAAAAAGGATGTTATTTAATATATATATATATATATATATATATATATATATATATATATATATATATATATATATATATATATATATATATAAAATAAATGTTAGTTAATAAATATATATATACAAAATACATATAAATAAAAAATATATATAAAATAAATAAATGTTATTTTAAAAAATATATATATTATTTAACTTAGAAAAAAAAATGTATAAGTAAAACTTTCAAGAATGATAGGAAACATTTGAAGCCAGTAAATTGAAAAAAAATGGCTCCAAATTACAAAAGATAATTGAAGCCAGTAAATTGAAAAAAAATGGCTCCAAATTACATAACTAGAAAATAAATTTTTCTAGAAAGTACTCAAAAAAAAAAAATCAATTATAAAATGTGCAGAAATAAAAACCGAAATATAAAGTATATTAGAATATAATAAAAACCAAAATAAATAAAACCAAAAATGAAATTGTTGTTAGTGTGTCTAGTATAAGAGAAAAGAAAAGTTACAGAGAAATATAAAAATGCAGTAAAGTCATTAGATATTTGAGAAAATGTTAGTAATTTTAACATTAAAAAAAAAAAAAAACTTTAAAAGCACTAAAAAAGACTTGACCACTATTGCATCAACCCTTGAATAAGCTCTACTACATTGAAAAAACTGAATTAAAAAATTTTTTTTTCAAGCAATTTTAGGATGACAAAATGGAGTATAAATCAAACTATGTGTATTATTTATGATAGTTTAATAGCATTGTTATTATCAGCATTATAACTATGGTTTAAGTTTTATTGTGCACTTTGATTTTTTTTTTAGATTATTGAATGTGTAAATTTACTGGATCTTCACAAAGAATTTGCCAGTTCTATTTGAAGTTCAGATTAAAACTTTGTATTTGTCACAAATTTCATTGCTGAATCTCAATGTAAAGTAATCAAAAAAAATATATACAAGCCTGGGAGTTTTTAATCAATATAATTTACCTGGCTTTAAACAAGAATCATATATTATAGTTGACTAAAGTGGTATAAACCCTAACTAGACAGTGTAGTCTGCATAGAATGTCGTCATTATAAAAATAATAAAATTGTAAAAAAAAAAAAATAAATAAAATTAAATTAGGATAGATTTTAATTACATTATGTTTAACAGTTTATTAGTAGATAAGTTGAAATTAAACCTTAAATTGGATCAAACACAAAAGCAAAGTAGATGAGTTGCAATTAGTTCTTAATTTGCATCAAACATAAAAGCAAAGTAGATAAATTGCAATTAAAGCTTGAATGGGATCAAACACAAAAGCAGAGTTGTTCTAATATATAAAAAAAACTGAATTCTACTCAAAAACAAAAATATTTATTGACAAAAAAAAAAAAAAAATTATGAGGAAAATCAGAGATTTTCCTGCGATTAAAAAAGAAAATTTTTCTTTGATTAACTAAAAATGGTTTTACATAAGACAAATAGGGTGAGAACCTTTCAATAAAACTGGGATGATAAAAAGTCTTGGTTAAATAATCCTAAACATTCTTTTTTAAGATAAGAATATAAAAATATGAAACTATTTTATATTATAAAATTACATTGAAAAAGTTATTGATGCTTCCAGACCAATTTTAACACTGGCATATCATTTTGAACAATATTATTATTTTACTTTCATATTCAATTATTTTCTATATTTTTAGTAGAACATTTACACCAACACAATTTTCTTTTGTATAAGTTGTTGTATAAGTATATTCTGTTCAAATTATACCTTGCATTTTGTTCTTCAACAACTTCAGCTTTTTTAACTTTTGGTGGTGCAGGTCTCGCACTGCTAGGACGCACTAATTTTTGACTGAAATTCAAAGTAATTTTTAAATGAAATTCAAGATTTAAAACATAAATAAAATAAATTAAAGTAAAATAGTGAGATTAAAAAATTTTAAAAATATGAAACATACACAGGCTTTTGCACACTTTCAGTATTTTTTTCAGCTGGCAATGCTATAAAAATCAATTGGTCATATAAATACTTTTCTTTATGTATAGAATTAAATAAATATTAGGCTGCTAAACAGAAGGAAATGGAAAAAAAAAAACATTTTAAGATTTACAGCTAAATATCATTTTTACATGAACTTAAAATGTTAAGGAACTTCAATATTCAACAAAAGAAATACTTATTTTAAGTGTTCTAATTCTATCATTTTTGAACTTAAAGTTATGTAAAATGGAAGCCAGGAACTGCAAGTTCAAAAACAATATATTCCAGGACTCTTACAGAAGAGTCCTGGAATATATCTTAGAAGTTTCTAAACATTTAAACAATTTCCTAGTAAAACAGAAACAAAAACTGGAGTTCATTTTGGTACATTCTATATCTCATAAATTATTATTATTTTTTTGTAAATGCAATATTAAGAAAACTAAAAAGAAAAGAAAAAAAAAAAACACCAAAAACTTGAAATACCTGAATTTGATGTATCTTCATCTAAAAATAAAATAAAATTTTTTTTATCTACTAATCAGAAATTGGTTAATGCAGTTAAGTTATTAAAAAAATAATACTTTGATAGGTACCTTCACCTGAATCTTGTTGGTTTTGTTTCACTCTTGGTCCTTTAGCTGAAGCTGGTCTTTGCATAGCTCGAGCATTTTCATCTTTAGTCTATATGGTATTTTTAGAAGTATTACTAATTTGATTTTACATATTTTAATTATATTACTTATTTCATTTCCTGAGAAACCAGAGGCTTATTCACAGAGTTACCATACATCTGAGTGACAGTGTTATCAAGTCATTGTGTAATTGAGTCACTAAGTTACTTTACAACTGAATTATAAAGTTATTTTTCTAATTTTATCACAGAAATAAAGTGCAACTGGAGTCACAAAATTACTATGTAATAGAGTTACAGACTTACGGTGGAGTTGATTTATAAAAGAAAATATTGGTTTTATTTGAACAATTTTCAAAACTAAACATTCTAAATCCAATTATAGCACAATACTTATATTTACATTTACACTATGAAATTTACAATAATTAAAGGTAAAAGGTTATTGATACACACCACGCGCATCCTTTACCACCTTTATGAAATTTCTAAGAATGTTGAAACTGGAAAGCTGGGATAGATTTAGGACAATTGACTTTTGTAGTGTAGCCCAATAAAATTAAAAAAATGACTATCATGACATAGAGTGCAGGTGGTGAGTTATCGCAAGAACACACCCCTGTTTTGTGGCGTTAATGCAGGTCTTGCACTTCCTCAAAACATCATTTGTGATTGCAGTGCATTCCTAATGATGGGAGATCACCAATTATTCACTACTCAATTCTAATTGGCTATAATGCCAAAATTTATTACTATTTAACCATATTTTTTTAGTGTGTTAAATATTCATACTATCACTTTTAAACATGTGTTGTTGTTAAATAACTTATCTTGTTATTGCACAGGTTATATATTAGAATTTAAATTTCATACTAGCTAACTTAATTTTTAGACTATGACATTTATTACAGTATTTCAGTATATTATCAGAATTACAGTATATTATTATTTTTAAACCAAAAACAACAGGGACTGTAGCACAGTACATTAGTGTGTTGTAAACTGAGTACTTTTGATTTAAACAATTCAAATTATTTAAAAATTAATTTCACCTCCAAGGCTCCAGAGTACAGAGCTCCAGCACTACAGCTGGGATGCTATTTATTTATTTTGTTAATTTTCTTTTTTTTTTAACCCCTAACTCTGAAACATGAACATCATTAAACTTTTTAAACTTGGTTGTTGCAAGAGAAAACAGGTTGATGCCCAAAGTTTAATTTTAAATTGCAAATGTGAGTCTGATTGAACGGAATATCTATTATATAGTGACTTAATTTTTTTCTTATTAGTGGTCTACCATAATCTACCCAGAAATCCATTCAAAAGCAAACTAATATCAAACATGAGAGATATTAGTTTGTAAAGATTAGCATTTATATAAGTGATTCCTAAAGAAAGTAAAAAGCAACTTTTCAACTAAAAGAGCATGTAAAAAACCTAGTAATTTATCTACAGAATCAGATAGGACTAAATTTATATTAAAATATACAATTCTAGATTGAAATAGTAAACTGGTTTTAGATTTCAAAATAAAAAAAAGAAGAAAAATTAGCTGTTCTGGTGCCTAGACTTTGAAAATAACAAGATTCCGGGAAATTTAGTTAACATAAATGTAACAAGTAAAAAGCAAGCAAGAGATGTGTTTGACACTCCAAATGAGTGAGGCATCACAGATATTGTAAAATTGCATGTTTTTGACATATAACTCTGGCTATTTGTAACTCTGGATATAAAAGTTGAGTTTGTGTTTAAATGGAAAAACTCTTAAACAAAAAGTTATTTTTACTGGTTTGCCAACATATAGCATTTATAAAAGAATACTAAGTTCAACTCGCAACAAATTGTTTTCCTAAAAACATCAACTTTATTCAATTTATTTCAAAATAAAACATAACATTTTTTCTATGCAATGGTTTAATATTGAACAAATTTAATTAAAACATTTAGGGTAGAGCGTGGAAAATAGGGACACTTAAGAAACAATTGCTAGTTGCAGATAAACTAATCATAGTCACTGTTTTTAAAATTCATTGATATAAGAAAACAAAAAAAACAAAAAAAGTTTCTAAAAATAAGCTACAACAACGAAAGTAGCAAAACCCTAGACTAGCAAAATTTTTACATTTTGAAAGTGGGTGAGGCAAAGCGGGACAGTTAAAAAGCAGCAGTTATTCATTAATTGTAAAACTTTAAAAAATGATAAAAAATAAAGGCTATCTATTATTTAAACATGTTCTGACATTCAACTTTCAAAAAAGTAACATACCTATATAAACTACACGCCCATACACCTATACACAACAAAAAATGAAATAACAACTAATATAAAAAAAGCTTTTTTTGTTTCATTATAAAATACCTCCACTCTACCCTAACCTATATAGTAATATATTGGTAATTACTACTAAATGTAAAATTAAACAAAAAATAATATGGATCACATAAATCACAAAAAAAATATGCTGAAACTATTGAGCAACATTTTTACTTATTAGCAATATGCTGATGTTGAACAAATTTAATATGCCATATGTATCAGCAGCTTTTTTAATTCTAAGTTTTTTATTATTCACAGCTAAAACTACATTTCATTTCATTTTGCTATTTTGGATGATTGATCTTTCTTACATAATTTCTTACCATCATTGTTTACATTAAACAATATTATTAATCGAAGATAAGTTATAAAAATACGAACTTCTTTGAACTTATTACTAATATTGCTTTTCTAAATACGGAAAATGATATTTTAGATTAAAAATAAAATCATCAAACTGTAAACAGCATCACGAAATGGTAATAATATAATCAATTATATAAATAACTTCTTGTCTTGATATGCCCCACAAAAGTCATTTTACTGAAATTAATACTATTCAAAAAGTTCAAATTCAATTTTTTTAAAACCAGATTCTGAAAGAGGATAAAAAATACTGTCTAAAAAATATAAACTTTTTATAAATAAAGCAAATTAGCATTTGTTAAAGATAAATATTTTGTCATTGTATCACTTAAGAAAATACACAAATTTTGTTTTTTGCACACTGATGCTATTTGGTACTTTTAATGCATTTTGGTATTTCTAAAATTAAATTTTCTTTACAATAATGAAGCACCATAATTTAAAAATGTTTTATCAAAAAATTTTTTTAGCAGAGATATAAGACTTCAGGCATAACAGTCCTGTTATGCTACACTGTCTCGATATGCCTCACTATATCCTAGCAATAGTCAAAACTGTTCCACCAAAAATTTTTGTACTGGCTTTTTGGTTCTTATATGGACATAACTTATATATTCTTTTAAAGATAATATCACAGAGTATAATCTATCATTTTTAAAAAATTTAATAAAACTAAACAACTAATCTAACTTTAAAACTATATATATATATATATATATATATATATATATATATATATATATATATATATATATATATATATATATATATATATATATATATATATATATATATATATATATATATATATATATAAATGTTAGGGTGGTTCTAAAAAACAACTTTTTTTGAAAATGACTGCTGGCACCCCCTGAATATGTTGTATATAATAAAAAAATGCTGGATTTAAAAAATTTTTGAATAAAAAATATTTTAAGGGGTTGCTACCAACCCTCAAACATTAAATAAGTCCCTAATATTATTTAAAAAAAAGTTTTTCAAAAGTATGTCATGTTGGGTATCAAATGAAGCAAAATTATTTTAAAATTTCAAAAATTATATTCATTTTTAAAAAAAAACATTGATTAAAATTATGATTAAAAAATCTTGTTAAAGTCTTTATTTTTCATTTTTAGTTAAAAAAAAGGTAATTTTCTGTTCACAAAAATCTATAACAGAAATTTAATTATAAAATTATGAATATTTTTGAAATTTTTATATAATTTTGTTTCATTTGAGACCCAACATGACATACTTTTAAAAAACTTTTTTTTAAATAATATTAGGGACTTATTTAATGTTTGAGGGTTGGTAGCAACCCCTTAAAATATTTTTTATTCAAAAATTTTTTAAATCCAGCATTTTTTTATTATATACAACATATTCAGGGGGTGCCAGCAGTCATTTTCAAAAAAAGTTGTTTTTTAGAACCACCCTAATATATATATATATATATATATATATATATATATATATATATATATATATATATATATATATATATATATATATATATATATATATATATATATATATATATATATATAGCGCTCGAAATAACAGCTTATCAACAATCAATGATCGGCTATTTTTAAGATTTTTTAAATTTCAAAAAATTTAAGAGAAAATAACCTGTTTTTGTGAAAAAATTCTATTTGATTGGCAAGCTTTGAAAAACTATTTAGAGCGTTGTATATATATATATATATATATATATATATATATATATATATATATATATATATATATATATATACAAATACTATTGCGTACTATTGTAAGCAATCTGACATCATACTGAAATAACCTGCTGCTGGGGGCTTCAGTACATACATCGACTGACAAATAGCCTGACTCGCAGTGGAGTGCTGCTACATCGACTGAGGGTTTTTTTTTATATCAAATAATGTTACAGAAAATGATAAAGGGATCATTTATTAACTATTTTTTATAATTAAAATATTTTTCATAAAATTAATAAATACAGCCATTTAAAAAATTATTTCCCTAATTTAAATAAAAATAAAATGAATAATAAAAATACCTACTATGTTTTCTTTACTTTTATTTGCCTCCTAGATAAACAAAAAACAATGAACTATCTGACTAATATAAACAGAAATTATAGATCAAAAGAAAATGGCATACATTATCAACATTTTCTTCTATTTCTTTTTTCCTTCTATCTCTTTTTGTTTTTTTTCCATCAACCTCATCAATATTTTTTACTTTTTCAGGATCATCTTCATGTGGCTTTGTCTTTTGTTCAATATTTGTTACTCCTTCTTTTTGTTTAGTATCCTTTTTTTCATCAACACCTTTTATTTTATCTCTCTCCTTTGATCTTCCTTCTTTCTCTTTTCTTTTCTCCCTATCTCTTGATGAACTTTCTTTCTCTTTAGAGGCAGATTCTGAATCTATCTTTTCTTTTCTTTTCTCTCTATCTCTAGATGAACCTCCTTTCTCTTTAGTATCAGACTCAGTTTCTAGTTGTTCATTCTCTCTTCTTTTTTCTTTTTCATTAGAACTACGCTGATGTTCTCTCTTTTCTCTCTCTGTGTGACTGCCATCTTTTCTGTCCTTGGAACTTCCTTGTTTTTCCCTGGCAGTTTTTTCCTTTACTTTTAAAGTGTTTTCTTGTTCAACTAAAACTTCTGAACCCGATTTTGAGTACTCGCTGTCTTTAGAATTTCCCTCTTTTTTTATCTCTTTACCATCTGCCTCTCTAGCTTTTGAGCTTTTTCTTTCTTTATCCTCTTGCTGTAAAAAATACTAATAATAATAATAATAATAAAGCTATACATAAAAAAAAAAAAAAATTTAGTTAAAAAAAAAGTAAACATTGAATATATTATCAATTTAAACTTTCCAAAATTAAGTGCATAAATTTACATACAAAGCAAAATTGATAATCTTTAGTATTTCTAGTTTGTTAAAAAATTGTTGTTACAGATTTGTTGGTACTTTTTACTTTTTTAAGCAAAATTGATAATCTTTTGTTTTTCTAGTTTTTTAAAATGTTGTTGTTACAAAATTGTTGGTACTTTTTATTTTTCCTAATATTTTTTGAAAAAATATAAGGAAAAGTAATTTTAGGACAGCGCATAGTGGGCCAAATATTAGACATATGGTGGACAAATTTTGATCTTTTTTTTTTTACTAAAACCCTTTATATGTCCAAAAAATCACTTTGTATTAAAATATATTTAATTTCATTATAAATTTTAGTTAAATAGTTGCTAATTCTAAAAATTATTGAACAAACTTTGTAAAACTTTGAAAACACTCTTAAAATCGTGGAACTGAATAACAAACTCTTCTGGTGGAACAAACTTAAAAAAAAAATTGATGTAACAAACTTTAAAAATAAAAATGCGCACTTGCTTCAGAAAAAATGAAAATTTGTCACTAGATTTGAAATTCTATTATTGATATTATATAATAGATTTGAAATATATAGATAAATATATAGAATTATATAGAAAATATAAATGAATTTATAGATTTGAAACTCTATTATTGATATTATTAAATGTCCACAACGTTTTGAATAAGTCTATAGATTTCTTATCACCTTTGCATATAATAATGCATTTTTTTATTTTTAATCTATTGGCGGCACATTCTGGATGAATAATATTACAATGTTTTTATTATTATAAACTCTACTGAGTTCTGAAGGTACTATCCAAATAATCAACAGGCCTTGTATCTAAACGTCAGTTTAGTTAATTTCTTAGCATTGTGATTAGCACAGTAGTTTGTATACGACATAAAGAGTGTGTTTTAGAAGATCTTTTAGCTGTATTTGTAATGAATAGTCATCTATTTGAATATTCTTGGGATAGCATTTAGCTTTTGAAGAAAAAATTTCATGCTTAAAAAAAAAGTTCATGCTTAAAAAAAAAAAATTTTTCATTATACATCAAACTGCAACTGATTTTTGTGGTTTTAAAAAATACTATTATGCTCAAAACAATGATCAAAATTTTAAATGAGAGTATTACAAATATGTTTTATTATATGGTTTTGAATATAATAAACATTTTTTTTTAGGTTTTGTCCATCACCTGGCCCACTGTGCAGCAGCTCACCTTGTGTCTATCAGGGATAGTAAGAAATTTAAGAAAAATTCTAAAACAAAACCTAAATGCGTAAAGCGATTTTTGTATTAATAAAAACAAAAAACTATGATTTTTTGAATTTTTTTTTTTTTTTTTAGTTCTATAAGAATTGCCTTACCAAAAAAAAATTCTTGATTTTTTATACATTTTTAGAAGAAATATGCTAAAAAGTAATTTTTGGATATAGTTTGCCTCGTAGCTATTAGTGACTGCTGAAAATTTCCAAAAAATTCCAAAATAGCTTTAAAATGAGGGCAATTGTACTAGCAAAATAGTTATGAAGTACTTTTTTAAAAAAATGTTCATATGTTTAAGTTTCATTATGAGCTAAAGCCTATAGAAATGTATAGAGTTAAACTCAAAAACTATTTAAGAAAAATTCATTTTAAAGCTTTTTTAAAACTTTTGGCAAATTTCTTGCTGTCGTGGTTCTCTCCAGTCACTAATAGCCACAGGACTATTAGTGACCAGACCAAAAATTACTTTTCCATGTATTTCTTCTGAAAATGTATAAAAAACAATTTTTTTTTTTTTGATAAGACAATTCTTATAAAGCTAAATGAAGAAAATTAAAAAAAAAAAAAAAAATGTGTAACACAATTCCCAAAAAACAAAAAGAAAACAAAAAAAATTTTAATAAGTTTTTTTTAGGCAAAAAAAGTTTTTATGGGCTCTCTTTTCGGTCCTTTATAAATCAAACCACGCATCATATATTCATTTTTTAACAACAGATCTGTAACGGCAACATTTTAACTAACTAGAAAAACAAAAAATAATCAATTTTGCTCAACATATGAGTTTATGATGTTGTGCCCTTTACTAATGATATAATAATAAGGCTGCATGAAAGAGAGATATTCAAAAAATTTTGAATTTTTTGTTACAAATAAAAATACATATCTCAAAAAAGTAAAACAATGATGGACACGAAAAATAAATTTTAAAACACTAACTATGCATGATCTTTTTGATATCTTAATATGAAAAACCCACATTATACAAAGTAAATCTTATTAAGAAAGTGATTTTACTGCACACTAAATGTCTACTCAAGTAAGATTTGAAGGTTGTTAGACTAATTTGAGTTAATTTGATTTAATTTGAGCTATTACTTTGATGGCTATGATACTAACTAAAGAAAAGAGTTGATAAGATTAATCGTTTAAGATAATCTCTAAGGAAACAATTTCTATGGAAACAACCATACTTTGATGTCTATGACACTAACTAAAGTAAAAATTAAAAAAAGATTATTTATTTGTTATAGATAAAAAGTCATATTTTTAACCCTGAAACATTAAGCAATGTCAAGCATCTAGAAAAGATGTTTTGCGATGTTAAAAAAAAAGAATAATATAAAAAACAAACAAAAAAAAAGAAACGTCTTAAAATAACATACATCTCTTGAGTGACTGCTTTCTTTTTTTCTTTTTCTTTCTGACTCTGGTTCTTTAATATTACCTTGTTCTTTACTACTTGATTCAACCTTTTTGTCATTTTTTTCAGTCTCGTTTTTATCTTCACCAGGTTTTATCTTATCTTTAGGATTCGCATCTTCATTGATAGCTTCGTTCTCTTTTTTATCTTTACTTGACTTTCTTTACACAAAAAATTTTAAAAATTCAAACAAAAATTATTTCAAAAAATATTTAATTTAGTTTCTTAAAAAAAAATCATTTACTTGGAAACTGATTTTTCTCCACTCAATACTTTGCGAACAGCATCAGAGGTATCAATCTTTAAGAAATGAAAATAATTTCCTTGTAAAATTTGATTAACAAACACGAATAAATAAGAAATTATCGCCATGCCTTTTTTCACATAAAATATTTTTGAATTCATTTATGAAACAGGCTTTTTTTTCAATCTGATTAGTTATTTTTAATACAAACCAATCAATTTTCTGCCAACAGATATTTTATTGAGACAGCATAAATATAAATAGTTTATAATGTTAAGGGTATATATAATTATATATAATAACTTAGATTAAATAATAATTATAAATAATGTATGCACACTTTTTTAGTGGCAACTTGACCAAGTGCTTGTAAAAGCTCATTAGTCTTATGAGCTTCTTGCCCTGCAACAACTTTTGATGGACGAACAGATAAACTTTCTCCAAGAGCAAAACCTGTAATAAACAAATAAGTTATAAAAAGATTTATATTGAGTACCAAAACTAATAACAAAAGAGAGGCTCATTTGTTAATATGTTTAGTACTGAATACAGACCCTGAGCCGAAAATCCCTCCGACAAACAAACACTTTTAAAAACATTTTATCTTTTAATGAGCTTTGGTGTTATGATAAATGACAACCTTTATAAATAAATTGGGTTTTAATATCTCTGCCTTTTGCTAATAATTTTACTAAAAAATAAGCGTATGAAGCTTTTTTTTTGAGTAAAATTAGAAGATCAAATTAAATCAAATATATTCTGAATAAAGTTGTTACATTGAGGGTATTTACATATAGTAATATATACTAATAAGGAGTAAACTTTCAAATTCAATTACAATAAAATTGAGACAATTATAATTATAATACAAGTATGAGTAACAAAAATAATAGTAGTGATAAGAGTAATTAAATTTTACTAAAGATTATAAAAGTGTATACTATACATTAATAACAATAATAACAATAATGACAAAAGTAATAATAACAACAATAATAATAACAATAATAACAACAACAATAATAATATAACAAAAACAGTAATATAAAAACAATTATAACAGTATTAACAACAGTAAAATTATTTGTTTTGATAAAAACATAGTAAGAATAACAATAATAGTGATAAAAAGAATACTAATTAAAATATTTCAGAAAGATTAAAATGATGAATTTAACAAAAGATATTAAAATTAGTATTATAACACAACAGAAAAGAGAAAAAAAAAAAAAAGATAAATAGAAGTTATGAGTTAGAGTTATAAATAATAAGTTGTAGAAAGGTAAGATTCATATATTTATTTATATATAAGATTTATAATATTTTTCTGAAAAATAGTTAAAGAAAGCAGTTTTGAATTTTGAGAATGATTTTAAAAGATTTTAGTTAAATATTAAATTTTTTTAATTGTAAAATATTATATTTAAATATAATTATATTTAAATATAATATTTTATAATTAAAAAAATTGATTAATGTTATGGAGGAAGGTTGTTATGATTTTGTTTTCAAACAAATAGGCAATTTGATAGCTGAATTAAGTCACACAATTTAAGGGCTATAGATATAAAATAGAGTATGCTACAGTTCGAATTACTATGTTGGAAATAAATTAACTTTATTTTGAATAAATTAACTTTATATTACAAGCAAAAAATAAATTAGAGTCTATTTTGATTCAAAGATATTTAATATGGTTAACTTGATTTATTTTTTGCCCACTTAATCTAAAATTTAACTGCCAACTAATTTTTTGTTTGAACAGATTTAAATATAGTAATTTCTATTTTTTTAGAGTTAAGATATAATTTAATGGAACGGAGCCGTTGAACAATATCAATTAGATTGTGATTCATATTTTTGTTAAGTTTTTTAAGTGATTTGTTAGTTAGAAACAAATTAGTGTCATCCACAAAGTGTTAAGCAGTAAAAAATGCAAGTGAAACATTTAAAGCATTGATAAAAATAAGAAAAAGTAATGGTTTTAAAACTATTGAACCTTATGGAACACCATTAAAAGATTTAGTTCTGAGTTAATACCATTAATTGAAACAAATTGTGTTCTATTACAAAGATAAATGGAAAACCAGAATAAAGGAATACCTCTAATACCATAGTTTTAGAGTTTTTCTAGGAAGATTGTGTGCTTAACTATATCAAATGCTATTTTTATATCAATAAACACCCCACACGCAAAATGTTTATTATCGATGGCTTGTCTAACTTTCTCTGTTATTTCTATTAATGAATGAGTTGTTGAGTATTTGTTGAAAAAACCATATTGATGTTTTTAAAGACATTTTTCTCCAAAAAATGCTCAATTCTTAAAAACATTACTTTTTTAAACAGTTTACTTAAGTAAGAAAGAATTGTAATAGGAGTAGCCATACTTAAGTGGGAAAGAAGATAAATAGAGTAGTAGTAGTAGTAGTAGTAGTAGTAGTAGTAGTAGTAGTAGTAGTAGTAGTAGTAGTAGTAGTAGTAGTAGTAGTAGTAGTAGTAGTAGTAGTAGTAGTAGTAGTAGTAGTAGTAGACATTTTGTGTATAGGAAGAAACAATTTTTTAAAGTAGTTTGTCTTGAATAGTCACAAAATAGTTATTAAATATATTAGCAACACTAGTTTGATGTGAGATGATATTTTCATTGATTTTGAGAATTAAAGACTGAAAATGTTAGATGTTAAGAATGTCCTTCATTTTTATGAGAAACAAGCTGAATGTAGTACTACCAGAGATATGGTACCCACCATATCTCTGGTAGTACTACATTTAGCTTGTTTCTCTGCACAGCTGAGTTATAGAGTTGAGAGAGTGTTGTTGCCACACCTTAAGAAGAGTCCTTGACTGTAGTGGCCTTTATATTAAATGACCGTAGTTGGCCTAGGGAAGTGAATTAAAATTAAAAAAAAAATTCAAAAACAAAATTATCTGTTGAGTTTACAAATTTATTCTTCACTATTAGACCAGTTCCTCAATAAGACCAGATTCCCATTCCTGATGTTGTTACTTTTTGGTTGACTGATAGTGAGCAAACCAATGATCCTGAGTATATGGATATTGCTACAGGATTACAATCACTGCAGATGTTTTCTCAATGCGAGATCAACACCATCCTCTCAAATAATGTTGCTGAGTTGTTAAGATTGAGATTATATAAAAAAAAACTGATTATAGGAACAACCTATAATCATCAAGAGAAGTTGAAAAAAAGAACTAGAACTCATTTGACTGGAGACTTTTTATTGACAGATCTAAAAGAAGTATAAAATGTGTTCTGCTTCACAAATTGGCAAGAAATTAGCTTGTTTTCCATTGGATATTTAATGGTACTGTAGAAAAGTTATGACAACATGAAAAAGATGTTATAGAAGATATTTAGAAGACAATTACAACAACCATATTTGGATCATCTGTTGTGATATCAAAGTAATGTGTCTTCTGCTTGGCCAACAAGGTGTATAGACCAAATTGCCATACATCTTTCAAAAGATAGACTCGAGAGGAATAAATTTGTAGTTGGCCAACACAATATTCTCAATTCACCTTTAATAGAACCCCAGAAAATTGTTCTTTTACCTCTGCATAAAAAGCTTGGATTAATGAAATGATTTTTTTAAGGAATCAGATCAGATGGAGACTGTTTTAAGTACCTGAATATTAAATTTTTAACAATCACAAGCTGCTCTTTGAAGAAAGATGTTCAGGTTACTAAACATGCTTGCAAATCTTAAAAAAAATTTTCCTGCTCAGTGTAGTTCAAGCAATTTAAAAATATTATAGTGCCTGTATATTACTTTGTTGACTATGAAATATTTCTTTTAAATTATCAGGTCTGTGAATTATGAAAAGACGAAAAAAATTAAAATGATAATTTTAATTTTTTTCAAAGCGATTGTGATTTTAGGAAGAATCATTAAAATGATTCTTCCTAAAATCACAATCGCTTGTCCGAATTTAATTGAGATTTTAAATAAATAAGTTTTTTAGGTGAAATGAACATCATAGTTTAATGATGTCATCTGTTCTGATCATTTATTGGCAATTTTTCTTAATTATAAGCTCTTTCTTGGTCGGAATTCTAGTATTTTTTGTGAAAATTGATAGAAATATTGTATTTTGACAACTACATATACTTAATATGCGTCAGAACTGATTAGAACTAGAATCTATAGTGGGTTAAGGCACTTTTTCAAAAGATTTTAACTAAGTTCATTGTTAACACCAATGAGCGAAAATGATCTAAAGACTCCAAAATGGTGTTCTTTAGATTCACTATTAGGGGTAGTAAAAAGGTTTTAAAAACTATATAAAAAAAAAGAAAACTTTCTTTAAATATTAAAAAACCTGAAGCAAACAAAAACTATAACATTTAAAGCTCTTGTTTGGACATAAAACACTGCTAAAATCATGCTAATTCCAAATAAAAGAATTCAAATTATTTGTAAATTGCCTTAACTACACCAAGTAATATATATATATATATATATATATATATATATATATATATATATATATATATATATATATATATATATATATATATATATATATATATATATATATATATATATATATATATATATATATATATATATATATATATATATATATATATATATATATATATATATATATATATATATATATATATATATATGTATATATATATATATGTATATATATATATAGCTGGAATTTAAATCTGTTCATGAGCTTATGCAAACTTTATTTCTTCCTAATGAGTTGAATTACAATTTATTATGGTTAATTTAATGGCTCTTCAATTCTAAAGAGTTCTTGCTACAATTGGTCCTGTTCATTTAAAATATTCATCTGGTTCATTCAAAATTTATGAAAAAGCAGTAGATAATTTTCTTACAATAATTGATCTGAATCCAGCAGATAAAACTTGTATAGATTTTACTCTTTGTAATAGATAAAGCAAAAAATGTATATAGTTCACACACCATATATAACTTAAACATAATATATCGTTAAATTATTTATATCATTTATATATACTTTAAAATATGCTAATTTGACTTTCAATAAAGTTACCTATTTTAAAGTATCATTTTGTAATTAAATTAAATTTTAAACTACATTTAATATCAAAAATTACACATGAAATCTAAATTCAATATTTGAAAAAGATTATCATTATTATATATTTCTTGTAGCATTTTATACATAACATAATATTCTTTTTTTTTTTAATAAACTTTTTTTAATAAAGATTATTTTATAGATTTTATTAGTTACCAATAAGTTAACATACAAGAAAACTAACTTATGCTCATAAAAAAATTATTGTTTATGAATAAATTTTTATTTATGCTCATAAATTATGTAATAAGAACTTTGATATTGAATTAATAAAAAACAAAAAACTTTAATTGCAAATGTGTACAGCGTACTGCTTCTAAACAAGGTCTATATTTAGAAAATAATTTTTTCTGAATTTGAAAATGTTTACTTAAAAACTATGAGTAATTCTTTAGATAGCAATCAATATAACTTTATTGAAAATGAAAAAAAAATTTCTGGAAAATGCAATTAATAAACATATAGTAATTAAGAAAAAAAAATTAAGAATATTCATGGATTTTTTTATTTTGTTTTTTATTATATTTTATTATTTATATTTAATATTTATATTTTTATTATATTTTGTTATTATATTATTCTTATTTCATTTTATTTTTTATTACATATTTTTTATAATTTATGGATTTGGTATTTAGAATATTTTTTTTTCTTTTATGAACTGAGCAACAACTATTTAGATAGGAGTTACTAGAAAACAAAGAATATTGTTAAATTGGGAAAAAACCAGCATGAAAAACATATCAGAAGCATTTAAAGTGTCAAGACAAATAGCCCTTGCCTTGACAACTTCGACTAATGTATAATAGAACCTTCCTGTTAAAATAGTTAGCAAGTCAGCAGTAAAATGATCAAAACCCATATTGATTTTAACTATAAAGAAAGGACTAATTGGACGATAGTAAAAGGGGTCAGAGTATTTTTTAGAGTTTTTAAAAATTATAACCACAGATGCCTTTTCCAGCAAGCAGGAAAGCAAGCTTCAATCTAGCACTTTTTAAAAAGTTAAGAAAGAATCAAAGAGAGTTATGGAAAACACTTTTGTAAGACTATTATAGAAATGTTGTCTGGAAGACAAGCTGTAAAAAAGTTTAATTGAGAAATGAGTTTGACAACGGAAGCCAGAGAATGATTAATAAGTTTAACTAGAATGATATGAAGAGCGTGGCCATTTAATCCAAGGTAAAATTAAAAGCAAAGATTTCGCAATTAGTTCTACTTTATCTTTGGAAGAGGTAATAGGATTAGATCCATGTATTAGACATGGAATATTAGACTTTTTTAATGACACTGTTAAAGATTTTCCAAAAGTTTCTAAAGCCTAACTTCTGAAATAAAATACAAGATTTAGTAAACTAAGAATATCAGAGCTTAGCATCAGACAGCGCCTTTTTACATTGATTTCTTGGATCAATAAAAGATGTTTTATTCTGAAGAGAGTTTGTACTTGTGAAAAAGATAAAAAATTAGTTAAAAAAATTAGTAAAATAACAGCACAAGAAGGAGAAAACAATAGAGAAAAATGAGGCATAATTTGTTATCAACAAGAATAAAAGTTTTTATCAACAGAGACAAAAAACATTATCAAGAAAATTATGAAAAGAATCCCAATCTGCTTTAGGGTAGTAAATAGTGCACTGATAGGGTGTAGGGTAGTAGTAAATAGTGCACTGATAAGGTGTAGGGTAGTAGTAAATAGTGCACTGATAGGGTGTAGGGTAGTAGTAAATAGTAGGGTAGTAGTAAATAGTGCACTGATAGGGTGTAGGGTAGTAGTAAATAGTAGGGTAGTAGTAAATAGTGCACTGATAGGGTGAGTCCAAAGAAGTATGAGAAAAAAGATTTAGAGAGATCATCTACCTAATAGAAAACAAGGAGAAACTAAACACAAGCTAGAGTCAAAGATGAGACAAAGATGAAGGAGTGAAGGTCTGTGTCAAGCTTTAAAAGGTATGTATTAAACTTGAAAATGAAATAATAAAATTTAGTGAATGTGTCAAATACATTGATATTAAAATTGACTATAACTTGAATTTTTTCATGTGCTTGCCAAAGTTTTTCTGGGCATGTGGGCAAAAAGATTTTAGCGCGAAAGCACTGGCTAAACAGAGAAGACTGTAGATGGTCATTATAATGTTAAAAGATCAGAAAGATGCTAGCCAGGAGTATAAACATATCTACCTATGGAACAAACTTTGATGCGAAGTATAAAAAGTTAAGGTGGTTTCACAAAAGAGAGAAGATTTACAGATAATGTTAGAGGTATTTAGTTCTTGATTGTACCTTCAGTGCTGCAGTGCATAACACAAAACAAAAATGTCTGTTAAATCTATTTAATCAATCAAAAATAGCGTAGCACTAAACAAAGTCTCCAGCATATGTTAGTATTTAAAAACTGATAATAAAAATTAAATAGTATTTTAAAAAAAACAAACAAATCAAAAAAGTTTAACAGTTACCCAAACAATCTATAGTCTTCTGGAGGAAACTAAGCTTGGCATCTTTTTCCTAAAATAAAAGTTTTCAAATTATTTCTTGTTTCAATAAAGCCTTAATAATTTTGCACACTTACTTTTTCAATACTGTTAAATATGGCAGGCTCTCCATAAAAAATTGATCTATCTCATGGGAACAAATTAATACCATTTATTATAAAAAGATTTTAATTAAATACCCTTTTATTACCAACATATTTCTGCTCAATCAAAACCAAATTAAGAAATTTTTATTTGAGTACATCTAATATATAGCTAATGAATATTAATTTCATCTTTCATTATTATTGCATTAATATATCACTGTTTTATTAACTATTATATACTTTTTATATCTTTGTTTTAGATGCCTTATTAATATTATTTATAATAATAGTGATAGCGATTTCATTGTAGTAATAGGTTTATTGTTATAACTTTTGCAATTGTTATATATATTTTTAAAATTACTGTCATAGTTATAAATTTAACTATAACTATTTTTAATATTTTTTTATCATTAAATACAATTTTTATTAAAGTTATCGTATTTATACAAATACATATACTATTTCTAATCTTTTTTACTTCATATTGTTATTGTTAATGCTATTATTTATTAGTGTTTTATTTTATTTTATTTTTTATTTTTCTCTTTGTTAGTTATTTTATTTATTCTTTTTTTTATTCTTTCTATATATTATTTATTTATTTTTTTTTTTATTCTTTCTTATTTAATTTACTAGTTGTTTTTTTAGGTGTCGCTCAGAAAATGAAGACCTTTTTTTTATGAAAAATATTGTAACAGCAATATTAGATGCATTGAAGTCCATTTCATTTGACTTTAGTAATAAGTATTCTGTTTTTTTTCTTTTTATAGATAAGCACTAGAGATGTCCCGCATAACATTTTTTTATTATCCGACCAGAAATCGAATACCCAGATATTTAAAAAATTATCCAGCTAGATATCCTGTCAGATAATATAATTCAAATCTTAAAATATACATTTTATAATGACAAAATATTACCGTGATAAACCTTCAAAATAGCGAGTTTTGTTTGAAAACTTTTCAAAATTAGTGATAGCTGTGATTTCACTGCAATGTATTCTATGTGGAAAGCAAATAAGCAGAGGATGTAATAAATCTGGTTAGAAGTCATTTTACACAACTCCACTGAATAATCACGCAAATTTATTGTAAATTGTATGAGAGGAAAAAAAAAATTATTGAATCTTCTTCAGCTGCACAAGGAAGTTCAAAATGTATTGAAATCTGATCAAGTCTACTTTTTAAAAGCTGCTCAAAAAGTTGATACTTTCTTTCATCACTCATTTATAGAAAAAAATGTTGATTTTTTAAATTATTGGAAACATGAATAGAAGTTTCCACTGCTAAAAGATTTAGCACTTAATTTACTAGTATTGCCTGCATCCTCTGTATTTTTGGGAGATTGTTTTTATTATTTATGAGAAAAAGTGACCAAGGCTAAAAATGTTAATTTCTTGATGTTGAGGTAAAAGAAATATAAATGATTGATAATTCGGTGTAGTTATTGCAAATTTAAAATATTATAGCGTCTGAATGATACTTTGTTGACTATGACATATTTTCATTAAATGATCAGGTATGTGAATTGACAAAAAAATGTGAAAAGACAAAAAAAATTAAATGATAAGTTTTGCAGTATCATAAAACATAAAGATTCTTTTTTTTTTTTAATCACAATTACCATCATTTGTCCAAATTTGAATAAGATTTTAAATAAATACGTTGTTTAGGTAAAATGAACATCATAGCCTAATAATATGATCTGTTCTGATCATTTTTTGGCAATTTTTCTTAACTATAAGCTCTTTCTTGGTCCGAATTCTAGTATTTTATGTGAAAATTTACAGAAATATTGTGTTTTGACAACTATATATAGTTAATATACGTCAGAACCAATTAGAACTAGGATCTATAGTGAGTTAAGGCACTTTTTCAAAAGATTTTAACTAAGCTCATGTTAACACTGATGAGCGAAAGTGATCTAAAGACTCCAAAATGGTGTTCTTTAGATTCACTATTAGGGGTAGTAAAAAGATTTTGAAAATTATATATAAAAAAAAGAAAAGCTTCATTAAATATCAAAAAAAATAAAAGCAAAAAAAAATCTAAAGCTCTTGTTTGAACGTAATATGCTGATAAAATCATGCTAATTTCAAATAAAAGAATTTGAATAATTTGTAAATCGCCTCAACTACACCAAGAAACTTATGTATCTAAATGATATAGACATAAAATATCAGGTATATAAAAAACCGAAAAAAGTTATTATCCTGCCAAATATTGGATACTAAATAATAATGCTATCTGGGCCAGAATGGCCAAATACTTATCCTAGACACCCCTAATAAGCATTTTCCAAAATCTTTTGTAAATTTCTTTAATCCACTTTTGGTACCATGGTACATTATATATATATATATATATATATATATATATATATATATATATATATATATATATATATATATATATATATATATATATATATATATATATATATATATATATATACATAATACATGTATATATATATATATATATATATAATATATATATATATATACATAATACATGTATATATATATATACATATATATATATATATATATATATATATATATATATATATATATATATATATATATATATATATATATATATATATATACATATATATACAGTGCTTTTTTCTGGAAAAAAAGGTGCCGGAACTTATCTGTATTATTTTTAACATGTCAAAAATGAAGCAGAAATAAATTATTGAATTTGTAAACAAAATTTATACATATGTATAGCCGTTGGTGGGCTTCCCCAAACATCATACCCAATATGGCAGGAACAAATAAAGCCATTTTCCAAAGTAAAATGCTTTTTTGGGTAGAGAGAGAGAGGGGTTGAGTGAGATGAGGGGTCACTCAACTAGATTTTTAGTATATTTTTTTGCACAAGTTATTTGTGGAATCCATTAATCATTTTCATTTCATTACACTGTCGTCATTGACAGATTTCTTATCTCAGTTTCTGCAAATTTTCAAAGATTTTTTGAAAAGAGGCAGTTTTGCACGATTGAAAATTGTATTTTACTGATCTATTTGTTAAGTTAATTTTTCAATCAATCAATCAATCAATATATTTTCCACTCTAATATAACTGTAAATATATACATTCGTGCGGGACATTTACAAACAGTTACAAACTGATGACGCGTAAAGACCTATGATGGTATACTTTGTAGCATAATAATATTAATATAAGAATAATGTGATGATATAACAATAACCACCTATGATGGTGTAATTTATATAATAACAATAATATTGATAATAACAATATTAATAATAATAATAACAGTAAATATACAATACTAATAATACAACAATATGAAGCAGTATAGCTGTATATATTTTTTCTGCTATTTGCAAAATAAAAACATAAGAAGAAAATAGCAATTATCATTAATAATAACGAAAATATATATTTAAAAAAAAAATGATAATAACAATAACAATAATTTAATAGACAAAATTAAGAAAAGAAAAAGGAGGGAATTAATTTTTCAAACATTTTATTTTAAAATCTTAAAATAAGTTTAGTAATTTTAAGTTTTTAATATTTTAATAATAATGTGAATAAACTATTATTAAATTTTACTTACAGTAACATTTGCAGAGTTACATTCGGCTTCGCTATAAAGTCCTTTTAATGTACCATGGTTTTTCATCACTTCCATAAAAACGTCATGTAAAAATCGAAAAGGTGGTTTTCCTAATAGTTTTTCTGTTAAGGGTGGTTTTTTTATAACTTTGCCTAAAATATCTTGAGTTTTCTTTATAATCTTTGGATCCATTGCCATTTTTCATGTAAGAGTCTTTAGTAGCAAAATGCTTGAATATGTAACTAATTAATATTCAAATAAAAGTAAAACAATAAAATTTAAAATAAAATCAATAAAACTGCTTATTAAATTTTAATAAAATTTAAAATAATTTGTTTATTTATAAATGTAATTGATTGAAAATTTCAAATTAAAATTTATATTCTACGAATATTTTGATTAAACTAAAAATATTTTATAGATAGCAACTATTAAATCAACAAAATAAATTTTGTTAATCGAAACAAAAGAAAGTGTTTCAAAAATTTGAATATAAAAAAAAATAAAGATAGAATGAGTTTTCTTAAGTTAAAAAAAAAATTCAAACAAAATTTATATATATGTAAATACTGTTTAAATAATTTTTACTGATACACGATATATCAGTATATCATTATAAATGATTATAACAGTACAACTTGTTCTGAGATTAAAAAAAAAGATTTTTTTAAATATAGACAGATAGATATAGATATAAAACATGTCACTTCATATGATCAACTACTAAAACTATATTGTTATGAACCATGATGATTATTTTTCGAGTTTAACTTATTTATATTTATCGATTGATTTCGCACAGTATTTTCAGCCACTTAAACATGAACGGCTCTTGTTGCTTGTTGTTGTCAAGAGGATTTTTTATCTCTCTCCTCCGTAAACTCTTTTATTTATCCATATTCAATCCTTACACTGCAACTTTTTTTTTAGAGATTTTCTAATTAAAAATGTTTTTTTTTTTTTTTTTTTCATGTTTTGCGCTCTTTATAAAAATGTCATTAGCTCTAACGATAGGATTTTAAACTTTACACGATAGTACCTTTTTAATCAAACTTCAATATGACTAAAATAACATATATATACTTTATTGCCCCCTCATTGAGATTATATAGTAAAATCTTTTGGGGAAAGAGTTTGTTTTTGTGCTCCAACCTCTATGATTTTTCGCAACTCATCCCCGTATGACATAGCTACTAATAAAATAAGTTTATATGGAGTTTTTTTTCTCACATTATTGTTTCAATTTGTTTTTTATGTCTTAAAAAATTTGATTTTAGTACGACATGTTTCTATCTAGATATCACAGCTTTGTATATATCAATATAACTACGATATATCGTTAGCTACTTATCTTAGGTTAATAAATAGCTAGAATACAACGCTAAATCTGACTAGATATTGCAGCTTTGTGGTTAGCGATACTATTACGGTATATCAATTGCTACATCTTAGACATGTAGGGTAGAGCGGGGCAAATAGGTACACTTAAGATACAAATGCTAGCTGCGAATAAACTAATCATAGTTCACACTGTTTTTTTATAAACTTCCCAAAATTCATTGATATAAGAAAACGAAAAGAAAAAAAAATTCTAAAAATAAGCTATGACAACCAAAGTAAAGAAACTCTAGACTAGCAAAATTTTTACATTTTGCATATATTATTATTATTAACTTTTATTTCGCTGATTAAACAATATTACAATTTTTCATATAATCATCTAAATAACATCGTAAACATAAAAACCTTGATAAAAAAAGATTTTAACTTTTTTTTATATATATATATATATAATATATATATATATATATATATATATATATATATATATATATATATATATATATATATATATATATATATATATATATTTTTTTTTTTTTTTTTTTTTGCCAAATAATTTTTTTAATAATACAAATTTTAACATATTACAAATTTAGTGGCAGGACTTCTAGAAGATCATGAGGATCTTATCATGAAGCCGTTTACAATGCATTTTAGTATCGAGTATAATATAATATAAATACGTAATATTATAATGAAGTTATAAAAATTCGTAAAATAACAAAGATAATATGAAGTTTAACAAAACACAGTAATAAAAAGTAATAAAATGCAAACCATTAAATACATAAGTTTGCAAAGAACTCATGGAAATATTCGTAAATAGTAAAACATAATACAATAAAGTATAATATATCAGCAATAAATTGATAAAAACTCAAAAATAGATAAAGATGTTTTCAATTGAAAAGATAATTTCTTTAATTTTGGTTTTGAATGAGGAGTAGGGTGGTCCAGATTTGTGTGGTGAAAATTCAAAGTGTGTCTAGATTCTCTCCACAAGCCTAACTTTGTTCCACTATGCTTAGGGAATAACCATACAAAAAATTGGACCAATCTGAACAGTTTTAGGGATCGCTATGATTTCAACATTTTTTTGACGGTACTCGATTTTTACGAATTTTTGTGTAAGTTTTGCATAATTGAACATCTATCTCAACATTGTGGTAAATAAATTAATGCTTGCTGAAAAGCAGATGCTATATAACTTCATTTATATATCTAATACCTTTTAGTTGTCTATTGTCACATGATTTGGCGGCCATCTTGTAATAAGCACATGTCTGCAGTATTTCAATAAAAATTTTATAAGGATTATTTTTTTATTTCTGGTAACAAATATTCTTATACTTAAGTATTATATTTTATATATATATTTATTATATAGTTAATATAATGAATTACAAATAAATTATTATTAAATTAAATAGTTTTCAAAAAGAATATGCTATAAAAATTCATTTATATATCTAATATCTTTTATCAATTGTCACATGATTAAGTGACCATCTTGTATTAAGCACATGTCTGCAATATTTCAAAACAAATTATGTTTTTCAGTAATGTTTTTTCATTTCTGTTAATAATATAAAGTACTAAATATTAATTATATAAAATTAAATAGTTGAAGAACAAAGAATCATTTCAACTTAAACTTCTGCAGGTAATTATTAAATAATAAAAATATATATTACACCACTTATGGCAGTTACTACAAGAAGCTCTGCAGAGGTATGGCTCATTGGGAAAGCATCTAAGCACCTCTCCTCGTCCAGATTGGCAACAAATGGAGATGTCCTCCGGTGTCTCCTTTTTCATCATCTGGAAGAGCATCTCACAATAAAGGACAGCATTCACCATACGATTCAAGAGCTGATTGTTATGTGGAATAAGGCAAGAATCCCAACACAAAGAATTGATTCTGGTGAAAGAAAACTTCAGAAATTATACGATTCCTATCTGCTCCTAAAAAAGAATCGAACTACAGACCTGGAAAGCAGTAGAATTAAAGAACAGATGTTCAAAGACACACTTTACGAGCTTTTTGACTTGGCAACTAAAACCGCAATGGAGACAATAACCATTGCTGAAGATAGGCAATTTCTTGCAATGCAGCGAGAAGATGTTACCAGCTGCAGCATGGCTGGAATTGATAAGAACTTACTGGCAAAGGAAGCCCGGGAGAGAGCTCGAGATCAAGCATATGATGCAAGGTTATCAAAACAGCAACACTCCAGTGGTCATCTCGATCCTGTCTCAGCCAACATCAGCAGCTCAGAAGACAGTCAAAACAGCGATGACGATTCAAGTTTTGAGATTCTGTCTTCTGCATCGCAATCTGTTTTTTCTACACCAAAGCCAAAGCGTCTGAAGAGTATTGTTTCCAGCCCGGAAGTTGCTGGAGCTTTGGACAGAGTTAACCTTCCAGATCGCAAAGCTATGTTCGTTGTCGCTTCAGTGGCTAAGGCACTGGGACATCCTCTTGCAGACTTAACTCTGTCTCGAAGTACAATCAGGAGATCTCGAATGTCTACCCGTAAACACGTGACTCAGAATGACAAAGACAACTTTTCCATTGAATTTCCTTTGCTTCTACACTGGGATGGGAAACTGCTTCCAGATATCACCGGTTCAAAAGAAACCGTGGACCGAATTGCAGTGATTGTAACTGGAAATGGTTTGGAGAAATTGCTAGCAGTTCCAAAAATTGGAAGAGGAACAGGAGAGGAACAAGCAGCAGCTTGCTTAAAGATCTTGGATGATTGGAAAATTCGAGACAAACTTCAGGGTTTAGTCTTTGACACAACCTCGTCCAACACAGGTATCCACAAAGGAGCTTGTGTTCTCATCGAGAAAGCAGTTGGTCGTGATCTTGTAAATATTGGTTGCCGCCACCATGTTCTGGAGGTCATTCTGAGCAATGTTTTTACAGCTCTCTTTGGTGGAACAGGGGGACCTGAGGTTGGCGTGTTCAAACGGTTTCAGAAGAAGTGGCCATATATTCAGCAAGCGAGATTCTCTCCAGCTAAAGATGAGCTCTTCATCGGAGATATGGAAATCCTTCGAAAGGAAATGGTAGCATTCTACACCAGAGCCATCGACGAAAAACAACCTAGGGAAGATTATCTTGAACTACTTCGGTTATGCCTGGTCTTTCTAGGGGGAGGCTCTGTTGGTGCTGAGATAAAATTTCGAGCTCCAGGAGCGATGCATCATGCTCGATGGATGTCAAAGGCCATCTACGCTCTGAAAATGGTACTATTTTAAGATCAGCTCACTCTGACTGTTCGAGAGAAGAAAGGTCTAGTAGAGCTTGCATTGTTTGTGGCATTAATTTACGGACGTTTTTGGCACGAAGCTCCACTGGCTGCAAATGCTCCGTTTAATGATGCTCAAATGCTGAAACAGTTCCAAAAGTATCCAAACCACACAATCGCCGATGCAGCTTTTACTGCATTTTCTCGACACCTTTGGTTCTTCTCGGAACATCTTATAGGTCTGGCATTTTTTGATAGTCGCGTTGATCTGGATGTGAAGAGGGCCATGGTGGTTAACCTCCAACTGCCCAAGACAACTCTAGCACTGAAGAGAGTAGATTCTAAGAATACCGACTTCAACAGACTAGAGAGATTCGTGACTATGAGAACCTATAGTTTATTCGAGTTGTTGAGCAGTACAGGGAGAGAGGAGGCCAGAAACTTCATTTCAAAAGATCCTAAATATTGGGAGGACGATGAATCATATCAGAAGTTGGCAGAGAGAGTCCAAAGAATGAAAGTTGTTAATGACAGCGCAGAACGTGGAATTGCATTAATTGGACAGTACAACGAATCGATTACAAAGGATGAAGAACAAAAGCACTTCCTACTTCGTTTTGTTCAACGTCACCGCCAGCTATACCCTACTTCATCCA